GAGCCGTCTGTCCTTACCCACTCTCCTTACTCTTCACCCTGGCATGCGCAGTTTCCTTGTGTAATTCTTCAGGAACTGTAAACCAGGAAGACAAAGGGAGCCATACATCTTGTTTACAGCCTTGTCCAATCCTATCTTTAAAAGTACAGTAAAAAGATGAATGCTTTTTCATCTGACTGATTTTAAATTTTGAAGTTTTTTAAGCATTGAGTAAAAGCAGCAATAAGACTATGATGATATTGCTTAAGTGTAATGAAAAAGTACAATTTTAATGTGATTATTTTGGAATTCTTAACTTGAGGCCATAGAAGTTCTTATTTAAAGCTATTTGTTAGTTATATGCTTGAAAGATTATTTTAGAAGCTATTTCATCTTGTTCTACCACCCTTCTTTCAGCAAATTATTAGTTTTGACTTTTGCTATGAATATAATCAAAATCTCTGCAGTGAAAAATATTTTTGAATATTGTTCTTGGATCATAAGATGTCTGCCCATCTCAAACTGATTGCTAGTTATATAAAACCCTGTTTTCTTTTAATGGTATTTTTTTAAAGAAAAAAATAAAAGAAAATGTCCTCTGTATAAGCAGGGATTATATTTTGTGCACTGTCACTTTTCATCATGCCCTCTTAATATAAAATCTTCCCTACCATAAATATAGGAATCAGCAGATCTTGCAGCCCAAGATCAACTAAGAATTAGGTGGCAAATTAATGCCTCCTCTCTTTTAGAAAGTACTAATTTTGCTTCCTCTGTCAGGTGCACTTTAGTCCTGGTTTTGTGGCCCCTTAGTACTGTTTTTTTCAGTAATGAATCAAAAATCGAATTATCAGCCCTGCTGTTTCATTTTCTGGGGAGAACTGAGAACCAGAAAACTGAAGCTGCCTCCAGGCCTGGTGTGAAGTAGGAGGGCCAGCTGAGTCCAGGTCCTCACCCTGGGGTCCTCTCCGCGCTGAGACCCCGGCGGGGTGGGGGCACCGAGGACATTTTGTGGGCCTTCTGTGATCGTTCACCTTCTAACACATTATCCAAGACGTGCTAACTCAGACGGAGTCGCCCCGAGAATGGTTTGTGACATGGCTCCTCTGTTCTTTTAACAGATCTAACCTTAGGAGCTAGACTTCTACATGTACATTGCTGTAGGTGGGAAGGCCTTCTCTCTTAGAATCTAGATTCCTCCTCAAATATCAGGATGGGATGACAAATCAGATACTGAGAAATGAAACAGATGGAGGCTTGTGTATAATTTTTATTTAAAGCATCAATGGGTAATTAATGTTTTTATCCAAAACTCCTTTGTAATTGTCCCCTAATTATTCCTAAAGTTCAGACTTTAGAACTCTTGAGGCAATTATTTGCAGGTAATAGCAACTAGTAGACTAACACAGGGCATTTCACAAACAATATAACACCAAAGTTTCTCCTTGCATTGCCCCAGATTTGTTAATTAATCTTTGATTATCTCACTCATTTGTTACATGATCACTTGTTGAGTACTGTTGTGCTGAATGGGGTATTTATGCAGCAGGGAACAGAGGGAGCCCATGCCTTCATTCTGCGGTGACTTGGTGGGGTTTTCACAAGGAAACGAGATGATTAGGATGCGATGCTGGGGCAGAAATCCCCAAGGGGAGAAGATAAACCACGAATAGGATGGCTGACTTTGTGTGGCGTCGTTAGGAAAGACCTGTCTTCACGAGGGTTTGGAATCCCGGGGAGAAGGATGAGGCCGGTGTATGAAGGACATCATAGCCTACAGTGGGGTGGACACCGCAGTGGGGTGGCCTCTGATCCTGGCTGTTAGCAGAGAATGTGAATATCTTCCTCATATGCCATGGGAACACCGTTGTGTTATCAATATGCTTAGGTGCAAAGTGGCTTAATCTGGGGGATGTGTAACCAGCAACAACAGAAAAATTGGCATCTTTGTCTCTACTCTACAAAGATTATCAGAGATGCAAGAGAAATACAAGAAGCTGTTGAGAGATCTCAGTCTTGCCTTTAGGAGCACCTCGTGGTGTGACACCAGCTGTCAGTGTGGGATCCCGGAAGAGAGAACCTGGCCCGGAGGTGAGAGTTGACCCGGGCCTTGAAGGAAGAGGCATTTGGATTGATCCAAAGAAGGTGGCAAAGGGTGTTTCAGAATGAGAGAACTGTGCAAGTGAAAAGCTAAGCTGGATGGCACTTGGACGAATGAGTCTGTGAAGTCTAGAAGCTAAGACCAGAAAATAATACATGTGTCTGGTTCCTGGGCAGTTGAAAGGTCAGTGGAGCAGTTCTGACATCAGTGAGATGGCTGTGGTTGCTGGAACAAGGAATTTGTTTGGTAGATACAGAAATTAGTAATACAGATCCGGATTAAGGTGAATGAGGAGAAGTAGCAGGAGGCTGGGCAGGAGGATCTTCCTTGTCATCACCCCTTCCCTTTTATCCGGAGGTAAGAACACGGATGTGCTCATCTTGGAGAGCGTAGTCTGTGCTCAGCACACCTCAGCGGGTGTGCATGTGACGCACTGGCTGAAGGGCAGTAAGTCCTGCCTCAGGACACCCAGCCTCCGCCCAAGGACTGAGCAGGCAGGCTGGGGACAGAACGGGGAGGCCAGCTGGAAGAGCAGCCTCGACAGTGCTGGACGGTGTCCGAAGGGAGCAAGACACACTGACGTGTGGGCGCAGCAGGGGCACAGGCCTAGAGCCGGTGTGGGAAGGTGGGTTTCTGTGTGCACAGAGGTGACATGGACTGAGCACTTGGTGCCTGGGATGCGTGGAGGCGGGAAGGAGTGGGTGAGGACTGACAGGAAGAGACCGAGAAACGGGAACCTGAGTGGTAGAAGACACCCAAGCCGCAGTAAGGCAATGAAGACTGTCAGGCACTGCACCTGGGAAGTTCTGGGGATGTCATGATCATGTCACAGAAACTACCACTGACCTTTCACAGTGGGCATTCTGTGTCCTGGGCTCTTTACTTGCAATGATTTACTCGTTTTCACAGCCTTGAAACAGTGAGTGCTGCTGTTAGCTCCGTCCTGCAGATGACGGTTTAAGGCAGGGAGAGACAGGTTCACAGCGGGGCTGTAATTCGTGCCTTGCTGCTGGGCACTCTGAGCCACCCATGGCACATGCACGCCCGTCCCAGCTGGCAGCCTGGAGGATGTGCATGTACCTCTAGTGGTACCAGCCGCCTGGAGGGATCGCCTTGCACGACCCTGGTGGTGCAGCCGGCAGGAACATGTTAAGTCTCTTGCCCACAGTTACCCAGTAGCTGAGATTTCTGTCCTCACAGCCAGAGCCCTGACTCTTACACGGTATGGCTGAGTCCAAGATGCTGTTTTAATTACACAGTTTCAACTGCTGTTTTGTGTAAGTGTCTAGAAAAGGAGTTAATTACCAGTTTAAAAGTTGGGTGGAAAGCAGACAGGCAGCAGATGGCTTGGCGGGGATGGGATAAATCTCTGGAGCAGGGACAACCTGGAAGGCTCTAGGTGAGGCGGAGGGAGCCCGGGAAGGTGCACCTTTAGACCTGTTTTCTTTCGCCTGTCCTTCCCTGCGCGGTCAGCTGTTGGTGTGAGAAGTTGTGTGCTGCACGAGAGGAACGATACCGACTCTTCCTCTGTATTACAGATGCGCCCACGTTTATGCACCAGGAAGGGGCATTAGTTTATCTGAGTTGATTGCCAACCAAAGTCATGTCTTTCTTAACTTTCATTACTACATGCGAGTTAGGGCCTGAGGGAGAAGGGCAGCTGGTAGCACAGAGCGGGAGTTACTGGATAACCACTGCTCAGGACCCGGGCTGTGGGGTCTCCGGGGAAGCTCGGCACCCTGAACCCTTCCCTCTCTCTGGCAGAAATGTGTGTAAGCTTGACCGCGGGCCAAGGACGGACTGTCCTCCATTCTCCTTGCAGCTCAGTGCCTTCTCAGGCTCCCTTGTTCGGGGAGGAGCCAGAAGGAGGCCCAAAGCCCCAGCCCAGCAGGCAGTCATTCTGTGTCTGGGAGAAGGGGCCAGGCTTCCCTGGTGTGGTAGGGAAAGCTATAGGAGCCCGCCCTCAGTGAGGGAGGGAGTGCTTGTGTTGGACCTAAAACTGTGAGGGTGTCGTCCGGTTCATCTTCCTAAAGCACCGTTCTGCCCAACTGAATTGACTGCTCAAAAACTTTATTTCCCATTCTAACAATGAAATTCTCGGCCTCACATTTACAACTGTCCGTGACTTACAAGGGTCAAGTAACGTGACAGTGTTCTGTCCTTAGCCCGTCCCGTTCACCAGCATCCCCATCTTGTGACCACGCAAGCAACCCTATTCCCTGTGCATCCCGCTGCCTCTGCTCCCCGCCTGCGCCTGGCTGTTCCCAGCCCAGGTCCGGGATGCGGGCCCTCCTGCTCCCCCTCCTGCTCCCAGTGCCATCCACGATGCAGCACTGACACCCGTGAGATTTGTCTCCAGTTCCCCTTTCCTCTGTCTTCTCGATGTTTATGTGCATGTTACCTTCCCGTGCCTCTCTGGGCAGAATCTGAACCTACATGATTTTTTGTCTGTATCACCTACACCTGATCTCAGAGAAAGCTGAAGCTTCCAGGGCTGAGAGGACTCGTCAGTCACTTGGGATATCTTTCAGAATCCAGCCCTGTCCAAGGGTCCTTGCAAGCACCACGCTGAAGGCAGAAACACCCGGTGTCCTGAATCCTAGCAGAGGACGCATCTCTGGTGGCGGTGGTCCACCGCACTGCCTGTGGTCCAGAGCCCCAGACTGTAGCAGCTAAATGGGGGCACATCGGTCCCATGGCACCCTCCCCACTTACTGCTAAGACAGTCTGGTCGAGACAGGATCCCCCCAGAGCATCATGGCTCTGGATCGTTTACCTTACTGGGTGAGGTGATCTGTTAGTTGAGAAACCTTTATTATTTCAGCTAAGGAAATATGAAAGTAGAAGAGTGGTAAATGTGAGCTGATAGAATATTTGTTTTGCTTGCAACAGTAGCTTATGTAACTGTTTAACTTTTCAGATATTTCGAAAGAAAGCAGTGGAACTTGGGGTAAAATTGCTACCTGCATTTCATACTCCTTCTGGAATACCTTGGGCATTGCTGAATATAAAAAGGTAAAACTCTTCATTTTCAACAACGTATTTTAAGGTGAAATAACTTGAGACTGGACTCACGGGTACTGCCACGTGGATGACTCCTCGAGTGACGCTGGTGAATCCCACCCTGCCCATGGGTTCTGTCCTTGGGTGGGAAGCGATTAGTTCTCAGCTCTGTAGCTGACGAGTCTGGGTCATGGCCGGGCCAAGAGACTCTCACAATCCAGGTGTGACGTGAGGTCCCCCAGTTTTGGGCCACGCTGAAGGGCCCACACGGTCTCTGTGTTTCCGAGGAAGCCAGCCTATGTGTGGACTCTCCCAGCTAAGCTCCGGGGAAAGTTGAGGGACAACACTGGGACCCTTGAGTACCCCCATGTGGTCTGGGGTGACTGAGTGGGGACCTGGGGCCATTGCTGCCCACAGGGAGGGGGGCTGACCGTGACCGGGCTCCAGAAACAGCCCCAAGCTGAGCCGGCGCTCTGGTTCTCCCAGGAAGCAGCCTGGGTCTTCATGATCGCTAGGTGTTGCCTTAATAATCGTCCCAAGCTTTCCCTCTGCCTCCTTCCTACCCGTAAATTACCTATGGCCACGGGCCTCCTGGGATGTCCCATACAGTGTGATGGTCTCTTTATACACGGTCACCCACTGCCCCACAGCGACCAGAAGCCAAACCTCGGGTGAGCGTTTTGTTTATGCAGAACTGGAAGTGCACAGAGCATGAGTAATTGGCAGAGCTCGAACTGGAACTTTTGCTGTTTCCTTATGTGTTCACATGCACGCACGCACACGGAATGGCTCTTGTGTCAGAAACACCAAGGGCTGCACAGGGTGGTTTGACAGGATGGACGCAGATTTCTTCCTGATTATTTATTTTAGTGCCATTCTGTCCTGAGATGAATCGCTATCTGGTTGTTTTCTCTGCCCATAGCAATTGGTGTGGGAAGTCGGTGCCTCATTTCTGTCTGTGTTTCTGTCTGTACCGGAAGCGAGGTGGGTGAGCTCTGCTGTGTCCTGGGCCGCACGGGTCCTGGGCCCCAGGTCTTCAGGTCAGGTCTGAGCCAGGCTGGGAGGAGACTGGGCTCTTCTTGAAGGCCCAGGAATTCTGCATTTGGCACCTTCTCTGTTGCATCCTGTCTTCAAACTTTGTTTTTACGGATGGTCCGACCAGGCACTCCCTCTGCTCACAAAAGCACTGCACAATTAACTTATTTTTTTCCTCTGAGAAAACTGTTAAGGGCACAGGAGTCCAAGTCTACCACACTGGTAGCTGCTGAGAGCCGGATGCTCGGTGCGTACAGCCGCTCAGGACTGGGTTTGGTCTGCTCTCTAGCCTCTGAGCTGCACAGCACTGCAGCTCTGCTGTGACCCTTCGGACTGGCAGATGCAGACTCTGGGCATCTTCTCATCAGACGCCTGCTCCCAAGTGCGCGGATTTACTCAGTGCCCAGAGCTCACGGTCCTGTCCGGGGAGCCCCGTCGGGCTCGAAGAACCTGGTTCCGATCCTGGAGGGAGGAGGCCTACCCATGAGCTCCGCCATTCTGTGTGGCTGGTTCCTGCTACTTCCTGGAGGACAGCAGTGGGACGAAGGCTGCGTAGACCACCCTCCTCACAGAGGGCATCGCTGTGTCAAGCGCTCACTGCTGTCTGACCTCTTAAAATAAATTGGGCTGTTTGAAATATATTTACCTTCACTGATGCTTACTTCTAGCAACCAAGCAGGCCTTTCTTTAGCGAAATCTAGCTTCAGGGTACCCTGGAGCACTTTCTCAGTAAATAGTAGATATTTTTCAGTACATAACAGAATACTTAACTACTAAGTTCTGAATCTTCTACTATTTCTCCTGTAGGTGCCTGTCAAGAATTCATTAACTGGGGCAAAATTTTATAAGAACTTATTTTGTATAATATAACACCCTAGGACTTTTATGTTTCACTTGAAAGATTACAGGAAAACTGTGTGTGGTGAAAAACAATGGTCAGCTCTGATGTTTCCAAACCTAAAGGAAATTAGGTGATTATTTGGCAGTAGAGCGCAACACTGGATTTTTTTTCTTGGTGACTTGAGTGAGCTTTCATTACATATTTTATCCTCCCGGTCCCCACTTGCCATGTAGCGGTGACTCACCCAAATGCACACAGGAAGCCCTGGCTATCCGTCTGTCCACCGAATCCTCTACCCTCTGCCTTGCCAGCGTGCTCACTGACCTGGTCCTCGGCCAGTGGAGCTGGTTGTCGCCTCCTAGCTTTCCCTGCAGGGGTAGGGACTGTGTCCATGTTTATCGCTGGCACTGCCTTTGGGTGCAGTCACCTGGTGCATGCGTACTGTGGCCTGTGTGGCCCAGGCACAGGGCACAGCAGGCCCAAAGCTGCTTTTCTAGGCCTCAAGAGCTGTCACTAGCAAAGGTTTCAAAGGCACAGTGAGAAACATGCCCGGAAAAACTATTTTCTCCGTTGTCTTCCAGGGAGAGAGAACATTAGGGAGGGTGTCGGGTGGGGCGCAGCCTGGACACGTACTCCATGTGGACTGCTGTGCAGCCAGGAGCCGCACGGGCCTCACACTGCCCTCGCTCCTCTGCTCTTCCCCAACTATGAGTGAGGGGCGGAGGGTTATAGACCTCTCCTCACAACATCTCCGAGGGAGCAAGAGTGGGAACTTCCCCGTGCGCCAGCCACAGTCCTCGGCCATTTAGATTAGTGCCCCAGTAAATCCATCCCCCTGCTTCCTCCGTGTCAGAAGTGAGCATCTGTTTGGCTCCCTGCTGGATGGTACTTCTGTTCCATCCTGGGATGGTTCTGTCCTCGCTTTACTCCAGAAGATACAGCTCCCTGCTTCCGAGGGCAGACGCAACCTGGTTGGGAAAACAATAAATTTTGTATGTTGAATCATACACATATGTATCCCACAAAGGTAAGATGCTTGGTGTTGAAAGAAAACACTGAAGGGCTCACTGGGATGAATTTAAAGCAAGCACTGTTTTGAATTAGGAAGTTTTATGTACATATTTGAAGCCAACATACTAATAAGATAAATTGAATTTCAGTATTTGTACAAGCTGGAAATATGCAGAGGACCTAAATAATTTATTCATATGCTCCCTTAGGACCCCTGTCCTAAAATTTGTGCAGCAGAAAAAATATTTTTAAATTGTCTCTTCTGCCACAATTGTAGATTCTTGCCTGAAGAGCTGCCATACTGAGCTGTAAGCTGATTAGAACCGTGACTGAAGAGTGAGCACAGTAGTCATTTGGCGGCTGAGCTACAGACGGCACCGACCAGACTAGCTGGCTTCACCCACGCAGTCCAGCCTTGCACCGAGGATGCATAGCTGCGTCACATTCTGTTAAACAGAAACCACCACCTTTCTAGCAGATTAAATTCTGGTATAACTCAGTCTTTCTAATGTGAAAATGTCGAAGTTTGATGTCTGATCTTGTTAACTCCATTAGCAAGAGGCTGTATGCATTTTTTCCCTCCATCTGGAAGCAGAAAAATATCACCTCTGTGATTTGTAAAATCAAGCATTTCACCATTTTCATATTTCTAGGTATAATTCCAGAACGGATATAGAGCAGACTTACATTAGAGTTTGGGTTTCTAAAGTGTGTTCTTAATTTAAAATAATGTAGTTAGTGCTCCCATTGCTCATTTCTACCACGAGGCATAGAGTCTGGGCACCGCCAGTAATTACCCTGTCCTCTTGATGAATGAGGTGGTTTGGCTGTGCGCTAGTTTATCATTTGTTTCTCGCTGTGGATTTTGAGTGACACTCGCCGTGGTGATCCTGAGGTGGGACCCGCAGTGTGTGCTGTGACTGCTGCCATTGTGGCTGTGGGCCTTGCCCAGCTCCACTGACTCCGTCAGGCAGCGGGTGCTGACGGACACGGGGCTCCCTCGCCTGTTTTCTTTCCTGCCTGGCAAAGCTATATTTATCGACTGTTCTGATTATCTGACAAAACGCACACGGTGTCATTAGTTATGTGCAGTTTATGTTATTATAACTAAATTGAAAAGTCCTTTACCTGAAACGGCTTTCATTACGAATAGCACTGTGCTCGATACTCCCCAGTAGTGAAACGTCCTACGTGAAGCCTGTGGTGTGTATGTTACACCCAATGATGCCAGCCCTCTTCCTGGGTTTCTTCGTGCTTTTTTCTAAATGCTGACACGTGAAATGATAGCTAGCTAATTTTCATAGACCTAAACTGCAAAGACATGCAGTTAAACAGTTAATGGGTTAAACAGTTTTAAAACATCTTCCATATATTTTCCTGTCTTTACTTGATGGTTGACACATAGCTCTCTACATTATTAAATTTGCTTAGCGTTTTTCAAATCTTCTAGTTTCAGATTTGAAGAAACTTCCAGAGGCAAAAGTATTGCTTAATTACTCTAAAAATGTTCTGCTGCAGTGATATAGGCCTAAGTATAAATAAAATCAGAGCTTCATCTTACAATTTATGTTTTATTTATGTTTCATGAATCTCTTAAGAATTTAAAGAAAGAGTTTATCAACTCTAGAAAAGTAAGAGAGCCTACTGTCTATTTCTAAGTATTTTAAGCTGATTGGCGGGGGGGCGGTCCTCCTATTGGATGTTTTATTACACTGGGTTTCCCTCTTGTATTCATTTTAATTCATTGGCTGTTTTTCCTGTTCCGGAAATAGGAACCAGCCACACTTGAGGGTGGCACAGAGCAGGCACAGGTTAGCAACACCACATACTGGGACTTTGCTGTTGCTGTTTTGGTTCTGCTTGCCCCGGACTGCCAGTGTGCGGTGCTCCTGAGAAGGAGTCCAGGTTTGACTGCAGCAAGCTGACACGAGTCCGTCACTGGACACTCCTGGGATCACACACAACCTTCGGCCTGGGGCTGACCCCGTGACACTTCCGTGGAACAAATTGTTTTCATGCACGTTAAACCTCACTCCTCTTTCAGTCAGTTCAGCGCTGTTGAACCTTGGGTGCACACTGTGACGTTGCATGAAGGCACTGGTGTTGCGGGCTCCGACAAGCTAAG